GTTCTTTGGCTTCTCTATCCTATACTATTTTAACCTCCCCTTTCTATTTTATGCCTACTAATTATGCTTCTTATTCCATGTACCTTCCCCCTGTTCTTCCCCTAAACCTCTGCACTGATAACCCTCCGTATGATCTCCATTTCTGTGATTCTGTTCTTGTTTTAGTTGTTTGCTTAGCTTTTGTTTTTTATTTCTTATGTTCAAGTGTTGATAGTTGTGAGTTTGTTGTCATTTTACGGTACATATTTTATCTTCTTTTTTTCTTACCTAAGTCCCTTTAACATTTCATAAAGGCTTGATAATAATGAAGTCCTTAACTTGACCTTATCTGGGAAGCAGTTTATCTGCCCTTCCATTCTAAATGATAGTTTTTGCTGAATAGAGTAATCTTGAATGTAGGTCCTTGCCTTTCATGACTTCAAATACTTCTTTCCAGCCCCTTCTTGTTGGAAAGGTTTCTTTTGAGAAATCAGCAGATAGTCTTATGTGAACTCTTTTGGAGGTAAATGTCTCTTTTTTTCTTGCTGCTTTTAAGATTCTCTCTTTATTCCCTGGGTGGTGTAGCTCAGTGGATTGAGTATGGTCCTGAAAACCAAAGGGTCATTGGTTCAATTCCCAGTCAGGGCACATGCCTGGGTTGTGGGCCAGGTCCCCAGTGGGGGCCATGTGAGAGACAACCACACAATGATGTTTCTTTTTCTCTTTCTTCCTCCCTCATCTCTCTAAAAATAAATAAATAAATAATTTAAAAAATTTTCTCTTTATATACAATCTCAGGGAACTTAATTATGATGTGTCTTGGTGTGTTCCTCCTTGGGTCCAGTTTCTGGGCTTCCTGGATTTTTTTCCTTTGCCAAATTGGGGAAGTTTTTCTTTATTATTTGTTCAAATAAGTTTTCAATTTCTTGCTCTTTATCTTCTCCTCCTGGCACCCCTATAATTCTGATGTTGGAGCATTTAATGTTATCCCACAGGTTCCCAAGACTCTCCTCATTTATTTGAATTCTAGTTTCTTCATTTTGTTCTGGTTGGATGTTTATTTTTTCCAAATTGTTGATTTGAGTCCCAGTTTCCTTCCCTTCACTGTTGGTTCCTTGTATATATACCTTTATTTTACTTTATATATCCTTCATTTCTTCCTTACTTTTGCAACAGAACTCAATCATTTCTGTGAGAATCCTGATTACCAATGTTTTGACTCTGCATCTGACAGGTTGGTAATCTCATAATTACTTAGTTCTTTTTGTAGAGTTTTGACCTGTTCTTTCAGTTTGGCCATATTTCTTTGTTCCAGCATACTTGTCATGTTGTAAGGGATATTTGCCAGGGTGAGGTAACGCTCTTTGCTAAATTGTGGTACTGTCTGTAGGGGAGGGGTCAGAGAGAAGAGAATGCTGCTTCCTTGGCTCTTTCCCCACTTTCCGTCTCTTGTCTCACCTCCCACAAATGGATTGTGCGCTTTTAGGTGCTGATTCTTATACGGGTAGGTTTGTGTATGTTCTAGGATCCTGTGGGCCTCTCCTACAAACTCCCCTGTGAGACTGGGAATTTCTCCATCTTCACAACCCCCACACAACTTTACAGCCAGAGGTTTTGAGTCTTCAGTTTTTTTGGTCGGGCAGCCCCACCTTGCCTGCATAGTCACTGCCTTGCAGCGAGTCCTCTCAGCCCAGCAGCCCATCTCTGCTCCTCCTACTGGTCTGGATGAATGTTTCTTTAACTGCTTCATTGTCAGAGTTTCATGCAGTTTGGTTTTCTGGCAGTTCTGGTTGTTTAGTGTTGTTAAATTTGTTGTTATCCTTTTTTGGTTGGGCAAAGAAGCAAAGCATTTCTGCCTGCTGTGCTTCCATCTTGGCTGGAAATCTGTGTCTGCTTTTTTCTAGAAATGCAAGATAATGTGTGCACATACACAAAACATATTATAAACATATACATGCCATTTTATTTTAAATAATCACATAAACTTACATAAACTGACAAAGGTATGTATTATGATTATACATACCTTTTTGTCTCTATCACAGGCCAACTTGAAACAACTTAAACTTTTCTGGGGCTTTTATTCCCATGACAAACCATTCTCCACTGCCATTCACCTAATCCCTTCTTCCTGGTTGCTCTATGGATTCATGATAAACTGAATACTGTAGCCCTCTGCCCCTCTGAAGTCTTTGTAAAACTAGCTGGCTTTTTCTATTTTTGGTCCCTGGCTGTAGACATTCTATTACAAAGTTTTAGCCTACTGTTCTCTGTCACATCATCATATTCCACTTTTTATTCTTTTTTTATTTAATTATTGTTCAAGTACAGTTTTCTGTCTTTTACTTCCATCCCAGCCCCCCTCCCCAGTGCTCCCCACCTCCCTCGCATTTCCATCCCCCTTAGTTTTTGTCCATGTGTCCTTTATACTTGTTCCCATGAATCCTTTTCCTTTTCCCCTGAAATTCCCTCCCTTCTCCCCTCTGGTCCCTGTCAGCCTGTTCTCTATTTCAGTGTCTTAGGTTATATTTTGCTTGCTTGTTTGTTTTGTTGTTTAGCTTCCTGTTTAAGGTGAGATCATGTGGTATTTGTCTTTCAACACCTGGTTTATTTCACTCAGCGTGATGCTTTCCAGTTCCATCCATGCTGTTGCAAAGGGTAGGAGCTCCTTCTTTCTTTCTGCTGCATAGAATTCCATTGTGTAAATGTACCATAGTTTTTGGATCCATTCATTTACTGATGGGCACCTAGGTTGCTTCCAACTCTTGGCTATTGTAAATTGTGCTGCTATGAACATTGGGGTGCATAGGTGCTTTTGGATTGGTGTTTTAGGGTTCTTAGAATATACTCCTAGCAATGGAATTGCTGAGTCAAAAGGCAGGTTCATTTTAATTTTTCTGAGAAAATTCCATACTGTTTTTCACAGTGCTTGTACCAGTCTGCAATCCCACCAACAATGAACTAGGGTCCCCTTTTATCCACAGCCTCTCCAACACTTGTTGTTTGTTGCTTTGTTTATGATGGCCATTCTGACTTGTGTAAAGTGGTATCTCATTGTGGTTTTAATTTGCATCTCTCTGATAGCTATTGAGCATCTTTTCATGTGTCTCTGTATCCTCTGTATGTCCTCCTTGAAGAAGTGTTTGTTCAAGTCCTTTGTCCACTTTTTAATTGGGTTGCTTGTCTTTTTAGAGTGGAGTTGTGTAAGTTCTTTATATATTTTGGAGATTAAACCCTTGTCTGAAGTATCATTGGCAAATATGTTTTCCCATATGGTTGGTTCTCTTTTTATTTTAATACTGTTTTCTTTAGCCATACAGAAGCTTTTAATTTTGATGAGATCCCATTTGTTTATTCTTTCCTTTATGTCCCTTGTTCTAGGGGGCATATCAGTAAAAATGTTGCTGTAAGAAATATCTGAGATTTTTCTGCCAGTATTCTCCTCTTGGACATTAATGGTGTCACGGCTTATATTTAAGTCTTTTATCCCCCTTGAATTTATTTTTGTGTCTGGTGTAAGTTGGTGCTGGACTTTCATTTTTTTTCCATGTAGCTATCCCATTCTCCCAACACCATTTGTTGAAGAGGCTATTTTTACTCCATTTTATGTTGTTGCCCCCTTTGTTGAATATTAATTGACCATAGATACTTGGGTTTATTTCTGGGCTCTCTGTTCTTTTCCATTGTTCTATGTGCCTGTTTTTATGCTAGTAATAGGCTGTTTTGATTAAAGTGACCTTGTAATACAGTTTGGTATCAGGTGTTATGATCCCTCCTACTTTGTTCTTCTTTCTCAAAATTGCAGCTGCTATTTGGGGTCATTTATGTTCCATATAACTTTTTGACATAGTGTTTGTTCTATGTCTGTGAATATGCCATTGGTACTTTAATAGGTATTGCATTGAATCTGTAAATTGCTTTGGGTAATATGGACATTTTGATGATGTTAATTCTTTCAATCCATGAACATAATATATGTTTCCTTTTGTTTGTGTCTTACTTGATTTCTTTCTTCAGTGTTGTGTAGTTTTCTGCATACAGGTCTTTTAGTTCTTTGGCTAGATTTATACCCAAATATTTTATTTTTCCTTTTTCTGTATTGAATGGGTTTTTTTCTTGATTTCTGCTTCTGCTGTTTCATTGTTGGTATACAAAAATGCCTTTGATTTGTGGATATTGACTTTGTATCCTGCTGTTTTGCCAAATTCATTTATTTGGTTGAGCAGATTTTGGGTGGAGTCTACAGGATTTTCCATGTACACTATCATGTCATCTGCAAACAGTGACAGTTTTGCTTCCTCCTTTCCTATTTGGATGCCTTTTATTTCCTTTTCTTATCTTATTGCTGTGGCTAGGACTTCCAATACTATATTGAATAGAAGTGGTGAAAGTGGACAACATTGTCTTGTTCCTGATCTTAGTGGAAAAGATTTTAGTTATTGCCCATTGAGTATGATATTGGCTGTAGGTCTCTCATATATGGTTTTATTTATGTTGAGGAATGCTCCCTCTTTTCCCACTTTGCTGAGTATTTTTACCATAAATAGGTGCTGTATCTTATCAAAAGCTTTTCCCACATCTATTGATATGATCATGTGTTTTTTGTCTTTGCTTTTGTTTATGTGATGTATTACATTTACTGATTTGTGAATATTGAACCATCCTTGCATTCCTGGGATGAATCCCATTTGGTCATGGTGTATGATCTTTTTGATGTATTGTTGGATGCGGTTTGCCAATATTTTGTTGAGGATTTTTAGCATCTATGTTCAGAAGCAATATTGGCCTGAATTTTTCTTTCTTTTTTGTTCCTTTATCTGGTTTTGGAATCAGGATGATGCTGGCTTCATAAAAAAAGTTTGGGAGTCTTCCATCAGTTTGGATTTTTTGAAATAGTCTGTGAAGAATAGGGGTTAGCTCTTCCTTAAATGCTTTGTAGAATTCTCCTGTGAAATCATCGGGTCCAGGGCTTTCATATGATGGGAGTCTTTTTGTTTGTTTGTTTGTTTGTTTTGCTCTAGAGATGTTTCCTGCATGGTTTGTCTCCTCAGTCATTGTCCAAAGGACTCTGAGAAGCTGTAGAAATATGCAGGCGCAGACTCAAGGCCCGGCTTTCTCTCCAATGTTGTGGAAAGGGACTGTACATCACAGGGCAGAGCCCTCTGCTCCCCTGGGAGTTTTTTGATTACTGCTTCAATTTCATGTGCTGTTATTGGTCTGTTTAGGCTTTCTGCTTCTTCTTCATTGATTTTTGGAAGATTATATGTTTCTGGAAATTTGTCCATTTCACCTAGGTTTTCAAATTTCTTAGGATACAGTTCTTCATAGTAATTTCTTACAATCCTTTGTATTTCTGTGGTGTCAGTTGTGGTCTCTCTTCTTTTATTTCTGATTGTGTTTATTTGGGTTGTCTCTCTTCTTGATGAGCCTACTTAAAGGCTTGTCAATTTTGTTTATCTTTTCAGAGAACCATCTCCTGGATTCATTGATCCTTAGAATTGTGCTTTTCATCTCTATGTTGTTTAATTCTGCTCTGATCTTTGTTATTTTCTTTCTTCTACTTGCTCTGTGTTGTCTTTGTTGTTGTTCCTCAAGTTCTTGTAGGTATAGTGTTAGGTTGTTTGTTTGAAATGTTTCTGTCTTTTTTAGGTAGGTTTGTATTGCTATGAACTTCCCTCTCAGGACTGCCTTCACTGTGCCCCATAAGTTTTGGATTGTTGTGAGATCATTTTCATTTGTTTCCAGAAACTTTTTCATTTCTTTTCTAATTTTATTCTTGACCTATTCATTGTTTAATAGCATGCTATTCAGTCTCCATGATTTTGAGTGTTTTGGGTTTTTTTCCTTTGGGGTTGGTTTCCAGTTTCAGTGCCTTGTGGTCAGAGAAAATGCTTAGGATGATTTCAATTTTCTTGAAATTGTTAAGGCTCATTTTGTGTCCTATCATGTCGTCTATCTTTGAAAATATTCCATGTGCATTTGAAAAGAATGTGTATTTAGCTTCTTTGGGATGAAGGGCTCTCTATATTTCAGTGAAGCCCATTTCATCTAGGGCATTTTTCAATGCCACAATATATTTGTTGATATTTTGTTTGGAAGCTCTGTTCATTTTTGACAGTGGGGCGTTAAAATCCCTTACTATAATTATGTTGCTGTCAATATATATAATTGTGTCAATGTCTTTCTTGAAGTCCTCTAAGATTTTCTTTATATATTTGGGTGTTCCTATGTTGGGTTCATATATATTTACAAAGTTTATGTCTTCTTGGTGGATTGTTCCCTTGAGTATTGTGAAGTGACCTTCTGGGTCTCTCTTTATGTCCCTCTTTTTGAAGTCTGTTCGTCTGACATGAGTATTGCTAACCTGGCTTTATTTCCCTGTCCAGTTGCTTGGAAAATTTGTTTCTAGCCCTTCACTTTTAGTCTGTGTAGGTCTTTTGTCCTGAGGTGGGTCTCTTGTAGGCAGCATATGTGTGGGTCATGATTTCTTATCCATTTGGCTATTCTATGTCTTTTAATTGGAGTACTTAATCCATTTACATTTAATGTTATTATTGATAGGTACTTATTCATTGCCATTTTTATACCTGTGTTCTTCTCAGTCTCTCTCTTTTCCTTCTTCAGCTCTTACAGAGCTGGTTTGGTGGAGGTGTATTCTTTTATATTTCTTTTGTCTTGGAAGATTTTTATTTGGCTTTCTATCTTGATTGAGAACCTTGCTGGGTAAAGTAGCCTTGGTTGCAGGGCTCTGGTTCTCATTACTTGGAATGCTTCTTGCCATTGTCTTCTGGCTTCGACCATTTCCATTGAGAAGTCAGAAGCTAACCTTATTGGGGCTCCCTTGTATGTTACTTCCTTTTTCTCTCTTGCTGCCTATAAGATTCTTTTTTTGTCTTGCAATTTTGCTATTTTAATGATGATGCGTCTTGAAGTGGGCCTGTTTGGGTTCCTCTTGATTGGGACTCTGTGATTCCTGGATTTGTGTCACTTTTTTTCTCATCAAAGTAGGGAAGTTTTCCCTCATTACTTTTTCAAATAGGTTTTCTATCCCTTGTTCTTTTTCTCCATTTGGTATCCCTATTAATCGGATATTATTGCGTTTCATATTGTCTTGCATTTCTCTTAATCCGTCTTCATTCTTTCTCAGACTCTTTTCTTTTCTCTCTTTTTCTGGGTGTTTTTTTCTACTCTGCCCTCCAACTCACTGATCCAATCTTTTGCTTCATCGATCCTGCTTTGGATTCGTTCCACTGTATTCTTCTGTTCAGAAATTGTATTCTTCATTTCCCCTTGGCCCTTGCTGATAGTTTATATTTCCTTTTTCATGTTGATATAGTTTTCAGTGAGTTCATTGTAGCTCCCCTGTAGTTTCTGGTAGCATTGTGAGCTCTTTGAACTTCCTGATAACCAGTGCTTTGAATTCAATATCTGATAGTTGATTTGCCTCTATTTCATCTAGCATTCTTTCCAAGGCTTCCTTTTTTCCTTTTGTTTTGGGATTTTTTTTTGTTTGTTTTTCCATTGTTTGTGAGATTCTTCTTGTTAGCTTCAGCTTCTTAAATTGATTTGTTCTGGCTTCCTGGGTTTATGGTATGAACTTCTGTAGTATAATACCTGTGAGATTCAGTGCTGTAGTCTCCTTGATCTTCCCAGCTCACCAGTCTTAGACTGTCCTTTAAGTTGGCTTTGCGTTTGTCTTTGGGTTTTTGTTGTTTTGGGGTCTTTCTTTTTTAGGTTCTTCCCACCAGCTGGTTAAGTGATGGTCCCTCTGTCCACCACCTGTTTTAATTTGTTGTACTGGTAAGGGCAGGTTGTGTTGAAGCTAGTTCTTCCATGTGTACAAGGTTTTGAGGATTCTCTTTTCCTCCTGTTCAGTTTTTTGTACCGGGTAGTTTTCTCCACTATTTAGTTATATTTCCAGATATGTCTTATATTGAGGTTTGTGTGGTTTCTACCCCCTCCTTCACTTTCTTCTGTTGTTATCTGTTGGTGGTTCCTTTGTTGTTGGGTTTTCTCTTCCTGTTGATATCCTGATATTCACCACTTCAACCCACTTTTTTCATGTGTGTGATCAGTTGGAGGGGAAGGCAAAATGGTTTATGACAGCAGGAGAATATTCTATGATATTTATATTATCAGTGGTAGAGAAGCATTAGGAGATCTTCAGGCTATGTAGAGTGTTAACCATAATCTTCAACCCATCTAGCCACTTTTAAGAAAGGATGGACAGAAGATAAGACTCTTCTTGGGGAGGGAAGGCTTGTGAGTTAGATCTGGAAAGCAGTGAGGTTGTGGGAGGTCAGATTCTGAGGTAAGGTGAGAGTAAAAGATAGTAAACAGGTGTAGTGTGTGAGCAAATAGAGTTAACCACTACAGTAATAGAGTTCAGGAAACTGAAGTGGGCTAAGATCCGGGAGCAGTGTTATGAAGTATTTACAGTTGAATAGAACAGCTATTATTTACAATAATATTAGAGCAACAATCATGTGACAGAATCTATGTGATCTGGATGACATGAATAGGGGGTAAAGAACTTTGAGTAATGTGCTAATGGAACACTGGTGACCTGAAGTATAGAAAATCAGCAATCAGCTTTTGGGGAGAGGGCAGGGGAAACCTGTCAAATGATACAATATAACCAGCCAAGGCAAAGAAGACTATACAGAAAGAGGAGGAATACAAAGATATTATTAAAATAAAATATGTAAGAAAAATGAAAAAAAAAATGCAGTGACTTGTAGTTTCTCTGCTATAGCAAAATGAGATTTGTCTCTCTGTCTCTACTATTGGGATGTCCCCTCTTTGGGTTCAACTCTGGTCTTTTCACAGTTCCAAGTGTTTTGTCTCACTTGTAGGGAAAAAAGGCAGGAGAAGGGAGGAAGAAGCTCTAAGTTTGGAAAGAAAGGAAGAAGAAATAAAACAAGAAAGACAGAAAGAGAGGAAAAACATACTGAAAGATAAAACAATAATAAAATTAAAAAATAAAACTAAACAAAACAAAAAACCAAAAACACCTCTTGGTGGATTCCAGTTGGCCAAACCAGGTTTCTGGTTTTGTTGGCTGCAGCAGGCTCAGTGTCTTTCTCCCTTCTTGATGTGTACCCAGCCAGTCTTGGGAGCACTCTCCTGAGAGCTAGCCTGGTGTCTCTCCCCAGCACCCCACCCAGGGGATCTAGGTTCTCTTCAAAGCACTCTTTCCCTGGGAGTCATTGCGGTGGGCTGGCGTGCAGGTGCCCTCGCCACATCAGGCTGCTTGGATCCCGCAGGTCTGGGCACAGACCCTTCCCAGTGCTATGGGGGAACAAAAGGCCTTCCACCCAACCTTGGATAGCTGCCGGGCTGGGTGGGGAGTAGGTCAAGCAGCTGTCGCAGTAGGATTCCCCAAACAGTTTACTTTTCAAGAGATTCCTTTCACTCAAGCCTGCCCAGCACAGCCCAATTCTCCAGCCAGACCAGTGACTATCGAAGTTGGAGTCTGACACTGTGCCCCCAATTCTCCCAAGCTGGTGCGACCACAGACTCCGCGGGTGATCATGGCCCTTTGTCCTTATTCCTTTCTCTGCCATCTCAAGCAACCAGGTCTCTCCCGGTGTTGCCCAAACCTTGCTTGGCTGGGGAGGGAGGGAGCTGATGATCCGGCTTTCTCCCAAGGACCCTGTGACTCTCTTTGGCAGGCCCTGGGGCTCCCAAAGAGTCCGTGGTAGACCCACCAGGTGCAGGCGCAGGCCAAGGCCTCCAGTCATGTCTTTGCTCTGGTCCCTGAGACCCTACTGTCCTGCAGCCGCCTCCTTACCATCTGGGTTTTCAGTGTCTGCTACAATTTCTGGTCTCTTATTTTCATATATGCTTGGGAACTCTTAGCTGTTTGCTCTGTTCCTCTGTAGATCATCCAGGTTTTTATCCCATGTGTACGGGGAGATGGAATCCATTTGTCCTACTCCATCACCATCTTTATTCTATCCCCACTTTTTATTCTTACTGTAAGTTCCCAGGATTTTAATCCTTCCTAGAATCAAAAGTTTGGTACCTGAAATTTTAAGGCTAAAAAACCATATTCACTTCTTCATGAACTCAGTTCATTTGAGTTCATTATGTATTTTATTATCTGCACCATCCTTTCAGAGTTTTTAAACACTATCTAATATTGTCATGCTTTTACATACCTATTCTTTCAAACTGAATGCTAAATTCTTAAATAGCATTATTTATCACATAA